CATTCTCTTCTTAAACCATAACTGCTATTAGAACCAATCCCTTAAAAAGAAGATACTGAGTGCTCATATTAGTTAAATTTAAAACAGTATAGGCATGCTGCATTCTGAATGAAGTCAATGTGGTCTTTATCTGCAAAGGCTCAAAGATATTCTAATATTATATGTTTATTCTCTAAATTAAACTGATTTAGTAACTGACAAGTATACATATATAATCAAATTATAATTGTGAAATTACCTGTAAAATGTATAATCTTTTGTACAAATTTTAAATGTGGTTCATAAGTCTGCTAGCTTATATATCATAATCAACTGTAATGTTCAAAAAGCTAACGCGGCAATTTCAAAGGTAGAAAAAACAAGTTTGTTGATAAAGACTAATGTGGTTTAACTGTATTAAAAGCCAATAAACAGCAACTAAACCCAAAGTACTAAGAATCTCTTAAAGCACTCTCTATGTTATCATCTTCTGGTGTTACAGAATAAGGAAAAGTCACAACTTTTCTTCTACGTATCAGTCAGGCCTAGTCACTCCATCTTTGGTCAAAGTCATGGGTCAGTAAGGGTTATATACAATCACATATAGAACTTAAAGGCGAGAAGGGAAATCATATTTCCCTTTATTATTCTCCTCTCAACTTTTCTTTAGTGTATTACAATCTTTCCCTCATTTGGTTGTTACTAATTTTTCACCTCCACTCCTGTCTTCCTGTATTTGTGAGGACACATGAACAAGTAACAAACAGTATTAATTCATAAGCACGTGAATATATATATTTTACAAAGGTTCCCACAGTTAGTTATCTGATGAATGAGCACCCACTGATACTATCAAAGAAAGTTTTCTGTCAGTCAAATTCTAGGAAACTACTATCCTGATTATTGATGACATTTCACACTTGTTATACTACACATGCTATATCATAGGTTAAAAAGTTCAGTTCATTTACAAAATTAAGCCCAAAGTGTTTTCTAAACCACACTCATCCCTAAATATGTAAATCCCTGGACATTCTTTCAGATCTCAATGTTCTACATTCCATTTAAGGAATGGGACAAAATATAAGCCTCTACAATAGATCTGTAAAATTAGTTATGTATTGTGGGTGTAACTGCTTGCACTGCTCCTTTCTAAAATCTTGCCCTCTACTTATATTAAGCAGATCCGCATCCTTCAGTGAAAGAACCTCAAATATAAAAATCTGAGATTTAAAATGTTTTTAAGTTTACAAATTCTTTGCTTAAACAAAAGGCGGGAGAACAATTGAAAGCATTAACATCAGATAAATGATAGTACTTAAATTAAGGAAAATAGATTAAACTCAAGACAAGACTCTCTTAGGTTACCACTATGCCCACTATAAGAAAGTTTTACCTTCTGTAAGGTCAATTTGATGATGTATGGAATTAAACTGCTAAAGACACTGAATAAGTAAAATGGTATGGTATCTTTCACATTTATTTTAAAATTTCACAAACAAAAAAATTTTAAGCCCAATTTAAGATAAGAGGTTTTTTTTTTTTTTTGAGACAGTCTTGTTCTGTCGCCCAGGGTGGGGTGCTAGTAGCACAATCTTGGCTCACTGCAACCTCTGCCTCCCAGATTCAAGCTATTCTCCTGCCTCTGCCTCCTGACTAGCTGGGACTACAGGTGTGTGCCACCACGCCCAGCTAACTTTTGTATTTTTAGTAGAGATGGGGGTTTCACCATGTTGGCCAGAACGGTCTTGATCTACTGATCTGCACGCCCGCCTCGGCCTCCCAAAGTGGTGGGATTACAGGTGTGAGCCACCGTGCCTGGCCCTGTTTTAAACAAGTCAGTCACAGAGCTGGGTTTTGAATGAGTGGTCATCATCCCTTTCATTCTCAGATTTCAGAAAAGGACCCTCCCCCCCATTTCTTCTATTAACAAAAAAAATCTTCACACACACACCTTTCAATTCCAAATTGGTACAAATAAATTTGTTTGGTCACTTTTTTTTTTTTTGAGACAGAGTATTGCTCTGTTGTCCAGGCTGCAGTACAGAGGTACAATCTTGGCTCACTGCAACCTCCGTCACCTGGGTTTAAGCAATTCTCCCACCTCAGCCTCCTAAGTAGCCAGGATTACAGGCATGCGCCACTGCGCCAGGCCTGCAGGAGTGTCTCAAAAATATTCCAACTACTCAAGAAGCCAGAACAAACCCTGAAAAGGAGGCAAGAATAAGCAGTATTTTTACTCTTCAACTGTAGAAAACATAAGTAACTCCTGAATTGTAAAATAGGTCCCTTAACAATAAGGAATCATTAACCTCTATTATAAACACTGGGCTGTTTGTATGGAAATTGCCCATATTTACAAAGTCCAGTTCTTAAAATTTTAGGGGTAGGGGTGTAAAATGTTAAAAAAAGATTAATTTCCATTCTCCTTAATTCTATAAAGAGCACTGACATTTTTTGAGCTCAAAATCCTATTTTTAATTGAAGCTGTACTGAGGTAAAACAACTCATTACTTTTATCAAGATGACATGTAAAGCCACCGCTTAAGTGCCACCTTCATTCACTGCCAGCTACAAAGGACATCTCCATGTAAAATTGCTTTAATGTACCTATTTATTTATTTATTTATTTATTTTTGAGACAGAGTCTCACTCTGTTGCCCAGGCTTGAGTGCAATGACACAATCTTGGCTCACTGCAACCTTTGTCTCCCGGGTTCAAGTGATTCTCCTGCTTCAGCCTCCCAAGGCGAATGCCACCACGTCTGGCTAGTAGAGATGGGTTTTCACCATGTTGGCCAGACTGGTCTCGAATTCAGGTGATCCACCAGCCTTGGCTTTCCAAAGTGTTGGGCTTTCCAAAGTGTTTGGATTACAGGCGTGAGCTACCACTCCTGGCCAGAAACATCCTTTTAAAAAGGACATCTCCAGAAAAGCATTCTTCTAATTCTTTAACCAATTACAAATAAAGACAATTATCTTGACCTAAAAAACAAACAAACGAAAAAACCATAAAAAGATATAACTGGTGTGCCTAGAAGCACTAGTTGATTTACACTAAAATACACTTAGGTACCACTTGTGAAAAAACATTTTCTATGACCACAAAAGGCCATAATAGGGCCCCTCATTTCTATTAAATAAATCTTTAACGCCTACAGATATTTTAGTTTAAATGTAGGTGGGAATCTTTTTTTTTTTTTTTGCAGACAGAGTCTCACTCTGGGGCCCAGGCTGGTGGGTGGGAATCTTAACATGTTACTTTCTTAGGTGGGAAAAGTGACAATTATCTATAACGTATTCCTTTCTTAGACTTGATGACAAATTTTAAAAAAAAAGCAAACAAGGTCCCTCTAGTAGTCCTCTTCGCTTCCCCACAAACCAAACCAACCGTTACCCAATTAATTATAATGAAAGTTAATTGAAGAAATAGCAAAATTTCTATCATAACTACTCAACATTTTCAAAACAAGAAGCATTTTACAACTACCATCATATATGTTTATTGTATGACTTCAGAAAGTTCTGTTGGGGCAATCAATACATCCTAAAAAAATTACAATCAAAAGAATTAAAGCTAACTTTTGTAGTCTACTGGGTAACTATTACAGTCTATTGCTTTAAATCTCTTTCCTCAAAGAGAACTAAAGCCTAAACTGACCTTCTGATTTGACTTTTTGGTTCTAGATGTTTACATTACGATCTTTAAAAAAGGACAAAACTCTCACTACAGCACACACCTCAAGTGTTTTTATGTGCTTCCCCTAGTGACTAGAATAAACATCAAAACAGCCCGGAACCTGTTGCACAGAGGTTTTGTTTTCTTTCCAGGGTTTCACACTAACTTCTACAATTCCCACTGTAGGGTAAACTTTGGAAATGAAACTCAAACACTGATAAACCTTCCAGTACATTTAAGCTGGGGATAACGTATGATTTGTGATGTCTATATTTCTCCGACCCCAAATATATTAATAAAAACTTTCTTCTGAGCCCTCTTCGGTGGGGGATAGGGTGAGAAGAGAAATGGGAGAGGGCCTGTTAATTTTCAGGTCATCTTTTAAGTGAAAAAATAATATCTAATAAGTTTTTTTTAAAAAAATGAGCCATGGAACTCGTTTAGTTATTTTATATTAAAAAATTTTTTTTTTTTTTTACCATAAAAACCTGTAAAGGAGTGGTCAGTTTTTATATGAAAGGTCATAGAAAGAAGAGCATTAAAAGTTGACATATAAAGAAGAGAAAAAACCCAACATCAAGGAATTAGAAAAATAAGGTGTGACAGCATTTCCACATTCATTTCGAAGTGAAGGGAAAGTCGAAGGGACATTAAGGGAAAAGGGCTCCTTGCGTAGTTTTCCCCTCACATCTCTCGTCTTAAGAACGCTTAAGGGTCCGTGCGGTCGTTGACTAACCACTTCATTAGGCTCGTCCCACCTTCAACCTCAAGGCTTTTCGCCTTTATAGACGCAACGCCGCCGGTTCCAACAGAGACGCGGGCGCTCACTGCAATAGAGAGCCAAGGAGACACAGGCCCCAGCTAGTCCCACGCCAGCTTCTCCCCGCCCGGAAAACAGCCCCGCGCACTTTCGACCCCGAGACCCTCTACGATGCTCGGGGTCGCCAGAAATGCCATCGCAGGAAGCACCTACCACTATCCGGACGGAGGTGAGCTCCCTGCCGCCTCCTCCCGCCCAACCGCGACGGGGACCCACACCTCAGAGCAGAGATAAGGAAGTCTCAGGAGTGGGGAGACGGGAGGGACCAATGCGGGGCAGGGAGGGAAGAGGACCCAAAAGTCCAGGTATCAGTCAGCCTCCAAAAAAGGGGGAGGGGTGTTATCCGTGGTTTGGGGGAAGGAGTGGAACCCAGAAGCCATCTTGGGATGTGAGGAAGCAATCGCGATGGCTCCGGAGGTAGCTCCTCGTGGGACTCCCCGCAACCCCGCCCGACCGCGCTTGTCCCCGTGAAACCCCGAGCATTGGGCCGCCGCCTAGACGGCTCCCGCGGCTTTGTACTCACTCTGCCCTCGAAGTTGTTCTCCTCTACATCACTCATGTCGACGAGGCGCTCCCCAGAACTAAGTAAGAGACAAGTCTCGGCTTGAGGGCCAACGGCCTACTTAACCCGCTGACTCGACCGTAGGGAAAAGGAAAGAGTCGGCAGCAACGGCCGCTCTACTCCACTCCCACTCGGTCGCAGGCTCCGGCAAAATGGCGCCGGCGCCGCCAGAAACCTGGCCTCCTCAGAACACGACGTAAGGGGGCGGGCGTCTCTGTGACGTCACAAGGCCCCACCTCCCGCGAGGCTTTGTGTCTGCTGGGCCCCGCGCTCCAGTGGGAGTTGGCGGGTGACCTGCGCTCTTTGCTTGAGCGCCTTAGAATCGCGGCCCCGCGCTGACTTTCAAACTTCAGACTCATCTCGGACGCGTCAACTTCTTTGAAGATTTTTCAGTCACCAGATGAGCCTTATATTACCTTAGCCCCTTTAAATATTGTCCAAGTGGAATCTGATGTAAGGGAACAAAACATTGGAAACTTTTTTTGTTTATTTTTGAGTCAGGGTCTTGCTCTGTCACCCAAGCTGGAGTGCAGTGGAGCGATCACTGCTTACCACAGTCTCAAACTCCCAGCCTCAGGTCAGTCCACCCACCTCAGTCTCCCCCAACCCGCCCCCCACCCCCACTCCTGCGCGCGCCGCACCACACCCTGCTAATTTTTGTGCGTCGTGCAGAGATGCGGGTTTGCCTTGTTGCCCAGGCTGGTTTCGAACTCGTGGACTTAAGCGACCTCCTCGCCTCAGTCTCCCAAAATTCTGGGATTACAGGCCTGAGCCACTGACCCCTGCTGGAATCGAGTATATATAATTAATAGGCTTCGCGGGGCGGGGCTGGGGGGTTATGTTTTCAGCTTACCGTTACTTTTCTTGCATATTTGCCCTGTGTCGATGTAATGCGTGAACAGATGAGGTTATGCTTCTTGCCTCATCCCTCCCTGCCTCCAGTTCCCCCTCCTAGAGAGAATCCTGTAGTTTTTTTTATAATGCTTAGCTCCCTACTTGTCTTTTTGACTTAGATATTTCCGTAAAGCTTCATAGCAAAGGCCTCCCAAATCTGTCAACTTGGTTCCCAATCACAGTAATAATTCCTCAGATGAGTTTTACTTGTGTAATGCAACTTTAAAAATTAGTTTCATCTTAAATTTTTTTCCTACAGTCTTTGCGGTAAAAAGATTGACATAGACTTTCAACGATATTTTTATGGTAGGAAAGTTCATCCACCATTATTATGAAGATTGCTACCCATGAGCAAGATTTCAAGATTTGAATGTCAGTTATTGATAGGGCTAATTTTTTTTCTTTTTTGAGATGGAATCTCCCATTGTCAGCGAGGCTGGAGTGCAGTGGCGGTGATCTTGGCTCGCTGCAACCTCTGCCTCCTGGGTTCAAATGATTGTCCTGTCTTAGCTTGCTGGAGTAGCTGGGACTACAGGCGTGTGCCACCACACCCAGCTAATTTATTTTTTATTTTCAGTAGAGACAAGGTTTCACTGTGTTGGCCAGGCTGGTCTCAAATTCTTGACCTCAGGTGATCCAGTCGCTGTGGCCTCCCAAAGTGCTGGGATTACAGGCCTGAGCCACTGTGCCCGGCCTGATAAGGCTAAACTTATATGACATCTGCCTCTTAGAAAAGATGTTGAACTTGGCTGGGCACGGTGGTTGACGCCTGTAATCCCAGTGCTTTGGAGACCCTAGGTGGAAGATCACTTCAAGCCAGAAGTTTGAAACCAGCCTGGTCAACATGGTGAGCCTCCATCTCTACAAAATAAATTATTATCATTTCTGAGATGGCGTCTTGCTCTGTCACCCAGACTGAAGTGCAGTGGCATGATCTCAGCTCACTGCAGCCTCCGCCTCCGGGTTCAAGTGCTGCTTCAGCTTCCTGACTAGCTGGGATTACAGGTGTGTGCCACCATGCCTTGCTAATTTTTGTATTTTTTGTAGAGACAGAGTTTCACTATGTTGGCCAGGGTGGGCTGGAATTTGTGACCTCAGGTGATCTGCCCTCCTCGGCCTCCCAAAGTGCTGGGATTACAGACGTGAGCCACCATGCCCAGGTTGATTTGAACCACTGATCAATCTCAATACCATTGAAAGTGAGATAACTAGATATGAGATACCTCATGATGTGATGCAATAGAAGGTACCCAGGGCCTCCTGTGAAGTATTCCTGATCCCTCAAATTGAACTCAAACCTAATTAAGCCTTAGATCTAGCCAACAGTTTATAGGAAATACAAGAAAGGGAGGAAGAAAAACATCGAGATGAAGTAATCGGCTTCCACAGGACAAATAACCTAATTTCCCCAACAGATTAAATTTACAATCAAGGATGGGAGTGAGGTGGACTATTATGGACTAAGAAGGGGTCTTCCCCCCACCCCCTTTATTCCTCCTCTTATTTATTTTTTTGGAGACATACTCTTACTCTTTCACCCAGGCTGGAGTACAGTGGCACAACGTGGCTCAAGCGATCCTCCCATACACCCTCCTGAGTAGCTGGGACGACAGGACCCTGACACCATGCCCAGCTAATTTTTAAGTTATTTGTAGAGACCAGGTTTCACCATGTTACCCAGGCTGCTCTCAAACTCCTGGGTTCAAGTGATCCTCCTGTCTAAGCCTCCCAAAGTGCTGAGCAAATAGGCTGGGCCTAGAATAGTAGTTTCTTTTTTCTTTTTCTTTTTTTGAGACAGAGTTTCACTCCTGTACTCAGGTTGGAGTACAGTGACATGATCTTGGCTCACTGCAACCTGTGCCTCTTGGGCTCAAGAGATTCTTCTGCCTTTGCCTTCCCAGTAGCTGGGACCACAGGTGCATGCCACTGTGCTTGGCTAATTTTTGTATTTTTTTGTAGGTACGGGGTTTCAATATGTTGGCCAGGCTAGACTCAAATTCCTAGACTCGAATGATCCATCCTCCTTGGCCTCCCAAAGTGCTGGGATTACAGGAGCTATTTGCTTTATTCTATGAGTTTATTATCCATTGCTGTCATTATTCATTTTGTTGCTTGAATTGTCCCAGATTTCAGTTAGAATCTTTTTTTTTTTTTTTTTTTTTTTTTTTGAGACAGAGTCTTGCACTCTCACCCCAGGCGGAATGCAGCGGCGTGATCTTCGCTCACTGCAACCTCTGTCTCCCAAGTTCAAACGATTCTTCTGCCTTAGTCTTCCAAGTAGCTGGTAATCCCAGGCACCTGCCACTGCTCCCAGCTAATTTTTTGTATTTTTAGTAGAGATGGAGTTTCACTATATTGGCAAGGCTGGTCTCAAACTCCTGACCTTGTGATCCATCCGCCTCAGCTCCCAAAGTGCGGGGATTACAGGTGTGAGCCACCAAGCCTGGCCAGAATCTTTTTATATGTTTAAACATATATATATATATATATATATATCCTTTTTTGTGAATTGTCTGTTTTCCATTTTTCTATTGGATTTTTATCCTTTGTCCCTTAAATTTTTTGAGCTCCTTAGATATTAGGAATATTCGCTTTTTATTTGTGCTTTATGTTGCTAATATTTTCTCCTAGTTTGTATGTTGTATATGACTTTGCTTATGGTATATGTTGCGCACTATGTTTTTATTTTTAAATTTTATTTATTTTTTATTTTTTCTACTATGGCAATAAGATTCCCAAACTAACATACTGTTTGTTTTTTTTTTTTTTGAGATGGAGTATTGCTCTTGTTGCCTAGGCTGGGGTGTAATGGTGCGATCTCGGCTCACTACAACCTCTGTCTCCTGGATTCAAGCGATTCTTTTACCTCAGCCTCCTGAGTAGCTGGGATTACAGGCATGCACCACCATGCCCTCTTTTTATTTATTTATTTATTTATTTTTATTTTTATTTTTATTTTTGATGGAGACAGAGTTTCTCCATGTTGGTCAGGCTGGTTTCAGACTCCCAACCTCAGGTGATCTGCCTCAGCTTCCCAAAGTGTTGGGATTGGGATTATGGGTGTGAGCCACTGGGCCCTGCTTTTGTTTTTTTTTTTGAGATGGAGTTTCGCTCATGTTGCCCCAGCTGGAGTGCAAAGGCATGATCTTGGCTCACTGCAACCTCTGCTTCCCAGGTAGCTGGGATTATAGGCATGCATCACCACACTGGCTAATTTTTGTATTTTTTGTAGAGATGGGGTTTCACCATGTTGGCCAGGCTGGTGTCGAACTCCTGACCTCAGGTAATGCACCCTCCTTGGCCTCTCAAAGTGCTGGATTACAGGCTTGAGCCATCATGCCTGGCCTAGATGTCACCTTTTTTATACACTACATTTTCTTATGGAATTGAGTCTATTTCTGGATTTTCTGTTTCCTTGGTCATGCACCAGTGCCATCCTGTTTTAAAATAGAGGCTTTCAAATTTTTATGTCTGATTGGGCAAGTCCACCTTCCTGTATATTTTTAAGTAAGTCTCATTGCTTCATAGCCACAATTCATTTTTTAAATCTTTTTTATTTTATTTATTTTTGAGACAAGATCTTGCTCAGTTGCCCAGGCTAATTCTCCTACCTTAGCCTCTAGAGTAGCTGGGACTACAGGCATGTGCCATCACGTCTAGCTAATTTTTTCTTTCTCCCTCCCTTCCTTCCTTCCTTCCTTCCTTCCTTCTCTTCCTTTCTATATCTTTCTTTTCCTTTTTCTTTTCTTTTCTTTTCAGCAGAGATGAGGTCTTACCATGTTACTCAGGCTGGTCTTGAATTCCTGAACTCAAGTGATCCTCCTCTCTTGGCTTCCCAAAGTGCTGGGATGACAGGTGTGAGCCACTGTGACTGGCTGTCACTATCCATTTTTATGGGAAAAATAATTTAATACCTTTTAATTATGAACTTCCTGACAAAGCGGAAAAAAACTCCCAATTTTCTCATTATCATCTTCATAATATTGTCTGTACCTTCATCATAATGTCATCTATACAATCCATATAATATCATTTTATGAACTTTTTAAATTTAATAATACATCAATATTCAGGCAGACGTTGGGAATTTTTTTTTTTTTTTCTTTTGTAGAGATGGGGTTTTGCCATGTTGCCCAAGCTGTCTCAAATTCCTGGGCTGAAGCAATCTGCCTGCCTCAGCCTCCCAGAGAGCTGGGATTACAGGTGTGAGCCACGGAGCCTGGCTGCTTGGGATAAATTGAAAATGTGAGTATGTGAAGTGTCTTTCCTCTCCCCAAGCTCAACCTCTTACTTTTGGCATGTGAGGAGTGT